TCCTGGAGGCTTCTTGGGGCTCAAGGTCATTTGGGGGCCTGGCCTTAGGGGGGGCCATATGAGGGCATAGTATGAAGGCCCCTTGCCCACCCCGGAGGCAGGGAAGAAGTGAATGGAATTCAGATGTGCCTGACCCAGTCAGGAGCAGGGCTGGGGCTCATGGGGAAGGAAGGTGAATTTGCCAGCTGGCTGGGAGATCTTCTGTGCCCCTAAGCTGCGGATGGACTTGACTAGAGGAGCAGGCACCGAGGAGTGTTGGCCTGGGCTGGCTGCTTCCAAAAGAGCTGCTGCTCTCATTACAGGCACCAATGATGAGAGTAGTAGTGGGGGGCGGCGGCAGCAGCCCATCAAACCTAAGGTGTCTCCAGGTGTCCACCAGGTGATACAGAGCCTCATGTGGGCTGGCCATGGGTCTGGAGGGGGCAGCCCATCAGTGAGCATCAAAGATGTAAGAAAGGCTGGGGAGCAGGGGGCCCTGGCCTAGACGCAGGAGGGGCCCCAATCTATAGGGGTCAAATAAAGTGCTTCACAAATTTTAGAACTTAAAGTTTGAAGTCACTTACTAAAAACGTGAACACGGAAATGTTGTACATGATCGAACATGGATAACTTATATCTGACTGCTTATCATCTCAGGGAAGGGGAGGGGAAGGGAGGAGGGAGAAGAAAGGGATAGAATTTGGAACTCAAAAAAACATCCCAAATGTTAAAGAAAATTGTTTTAACATGTAATTGGGGGGGAAATAAAATATATATTTTTTAAAAGCTTTAATATAGTCATGAATTCTTTACCCTAGAATTTTGTGGAGCTTGTCCTGGGCAAGATTATGAAGGGAACAGCTGGACTTTGGACCCCTAGCTCTCGCCCCCCCCCAATTCTGTCCACCTTCTTCTATTATAAAGAGTCCAGTGTGGTCAGACTCCCCTTCACTACCCCCCACTCAAATCCTGTGGACTTATCAATCAATAAGCATTTTGTTAAGTGCCTGCTGTGTGGCAGGAACTATACTAAGCATTTATATTTCTCCTTTTCACACAAAAGTGGAAACGATTGATAACAGAAACCAGTTACTAAAGCAGGAAGCCTGTGTATTTTTACAAGGATCAAAGGTTTAAGGGGAAGAGGGTTTATAACCTAGGTGGGAGGCAGGGGGAGGGAGGATATTTGGGTGGGGTGCCTGTCTGTGCCCAGAAAGTCCTCAGTGAAAGCTCACCAGAAGACCAAGGTTTACTCAATACAATCTAATTCAACAAATACTGATTAAGGGTTGTTATACACAAGGTGTTGCACTAGGCTATGGATAACTTTGTGATGTGTCCATGTGAGCAGACCCGTTGGATATGCAGATTGTAACCCACCAGTCTTGCTCATCTTTCGGGATTCTTGACCATGGCCACCCAAGTATCCTCCATCTGGAGTCCACCTAACGTGCTGAGGCCTCTCTTTCTCTGAGTCTTGTTCAGTCAGTTTTATTCAACTTAGTGTTTTTCACGACAACGATACCACGTTCCCAGGGAGCCTTCCCTTGTGCCAGACTTAAGCCAGACCCTCCCTAGTCCCCAGGTACTCTGCCTGACCACACCGGCAACATTCCACCCCTGAGGTCCCTAACTCCTCCAAGGAAAGGAGGGAGGCGCTTTTCTCTTCTTGTCTCCTTGGGCAAGGAAGCTAATTCTAATGACGCAGATGAGCTTTTGTCTTCCTCGTGCGTGTCATTCTCCCAAGCCTGCTTCCATCATCACCTCACTTTGTGGGTGTCTCACCGGGCTTCTCTGAATTCCTCACATCTGCCATGTCTCCCTGCACACCTCAGAACTCTCTTGACTTCGTAGGAGTGCTGGGGGAACATGGAGATTGTCCTCCAGGTATCCCCGTCTCTGGAAGCCCTTGGGGTATATGTGCAGAGCCCTTCAGCTGACTTTAGTTTTTGGGAAATTGATGTTCTGTGCCTTCCAGACACATAGGCTAGGAATACAAAGAAGAAAAATGGTTAGCATCCCTGCCTGCTCTTAGGAAACTCATCACCCAGTAGGGGAGGGATGCGTAGGAAGAAGTAAAATTGTCCCCCCCTTCCCCTTGGTGCCAATGTGAAATAGAGAACATTACTGAATATCCCCAAGTCCCGGCCGGCACAGGGCTCCGCCTGGGTTCTTGTGAAGTGCTTTCTATGTGCCTCAGTGGACTGATGTGCACAGAGTCCTCATTTTCCTTGGCAAACAGTGAGTGAGTGTGCGTCCGTGCATGTGCGCCTCTCCCGGGGACAGGATCTGGGGCGCTGGCTCCTCAAAGCCCCTTTCTTTGCACAGCTGACTGGCCCCCCAGCACACTGCAGTATCAGTATTCTCGGGCGCCCATAAGGATGCCATGACAACGGACGGAAACAAGAGAGCCTTCTTCCCCTGGCACAGTCGCTAGGCTGTCAGTGGCTGCTTGTGCTCATGGATTTTTCCCCTAATCTCAAAATCACTTGTTGACAAGTGCCGTGGCCCTGGCAGAGACACCGGGTCAGTGGCTGGAGGGTAAACAATATTCTCCTATTTGTGAGAAATGGCTGATTTTCTGGGGCGCTTAAATTCAGTCTGGCCTCTAGGAGGGCAGGGACTTTGGCAGGTACAGAGCCCTCCTGAAGGAGAAAATGATCTTAACCCATCAGGCTAGGCTGTCCCCTTCTTTTAGTGACATGGAGGTTCAGGGAACCGACGGATTAAGTGACAAGCTGAGGTGAGGCATCAATGGTGGCACTTGAAACCTAGGGTTCATTGAGTCCAATGCCATCCATAGTGCCAGGAAGCCACTCACAGCATCAACAGGTCAACAAATAGGACCACGCTCTGGGGTTATGCCCCGCCTGAGTGCTAGTCTCAGGATCCTGTATATGGGTGAAAGTGATAATATTGTACTGTGATCAAAATGGTGGAAGGGACCTGCATCTCCATGTCTTCACTCTGTGGGGTAATTGTCCTGGCCCACATCTATATCTATAACAGGGGTAGGGAACCTGCAGCCTCGAGGCTTCATGTGGCCCTTTAGGCCCTTGGACTGAATCCAAACTTCACAGAACAAATCCCCTTAATAAAAGGACTTATTCTGTAAACCTTGGACTCAGTCAACAGGCCCGTCTAAGGATCTAGAAGGCCACATGTGGCCTTGAGGCTGCAGGTTCCCCACTCCTGACACAAGCACACACAGACACACACACACAGAGATTATATGGCCATAGCTGTTTGTATGTTGCATTAGGATATGAAATTAGAATATGAATTCACTGAGGGCAGTGACCAACACTTAGCACAGCACCTGACACACAGGAAGAGCTTAATAAATGCTTGTTGACTGATGGATGGATGGAGTTTTCATAGTCAAGACCCCTGGAGCCTCCCTTTTCTGAACTCTCCCCTACCTGAGCAGGCAGGAATGGGATCCCTGATCTCTTTAGTTGCCAAGGGTACTGGTAAAAAGGACCCCTAATAGGGTAAGCCAGAGAATCACCAATTCCAGAGGGCTAGGCAGCAGCTGTCAAACAGAGATGGGAGCAGAGGTCAAAGGCAGCCCCAGCAGGAGCAGGAGTACGCAGAGGGAACCACATGTACAGCTGGCAAACATCAATTTATCCCTGGCAAAGCCATCACCATCTTCAGAAAGTCTGGACCAAGAGAAGATGCCATTGTTAGAAATGGACGTGACTGGCCTACCTCTGCTGAATGGTGGCCTGGGACTCTGAAGTTATTGGGGAACTCTTTGGACTGATGATGTCACCTAATATAGGTTAGTGGGAAGAGCCCTGGACTAGAAGCCAGCAGGGTCCACACAATGTCATAGTGCGGGCTTTGCCACTAACCAGATGGGGGACAAGCATCCTCCTTGTCCTTCTCAAAATGTCTGTGGGTGAATGGAGAGAAACACATCTGTCCGTGGTTCTCATGCTCATTATTTCTTATGACACAATAATGTTCCATTAGATTAACATACCAGGGGTGGTTTTAAGTTTACTACCTAGTTAATGGGTACCTACTTTGTTTCCAGCTGTTGGCCCAAAGAGGGCTGCCGTGAATATCCTGGTATCCATCAGATCTTTGACTCTATCTTTTTCTTCCTTGGGGAATGTGCCCAACAGTTGGCTTGCTGGCTCACACAGTACAGAAAATTTCACGAGTTTTCTTGTGCAATTAGAAACTGATATCCAGAATAGTGGAAGCACTTAAGAGCTCCACAAGCCATGGACGAGTTTGTTTGTCTTTGGCAGGTCCCTCCATTAACTGCTCTCATTTCTTGGGCATCTTTGCCAATTCACAAGGTGTGAGATTAAAAAGAGGGTTTTTTTGTTTTCTTTTTACCTTTTCCTTCTATTAATGAATTGGAATGTGTTTTCATGTGGTTATTTATAGTTTGCCATTCTTTTAAAATTTTTCATTTAATGATGTACATTGAGAAATGCCACATATTGGTGCTAATTCTCCATATAGCTAGTATATCAGACTTTGGTCACAATATTTAAGGCAAAACATTTTCCCACTGTACCATTTTAAAATTACAAAGCCTTTTGATTTCATGTAATCAAAATGGTTTATTTTGTCTTCTATGAACTCCTCTATCCTTTGTGTGGTGAAGAATTCTCCTCCTAGAAGGGAGAGAATTTGGAACCTAAAGTTTTAAAAACATACATTAAAAAGTGTTTTTACATGCAACTGGGAAATAAGATATACAGGCAATGGGGTATAGAAATCTATCCTGCCCTACAGGAAAATAGAAAGGGAAGGGGATAAGAGAAGGGGGGGAGTGACAGAAGGGAGGGCAGATTAGGGGAAGGGGTATTCAGGATGCTTGCAGTCTTGGGGTTGGGGGAGGGGGCAGATGGAGAGAAAATTTGGAACTCAAAATCTTGCAGAAGTGAATGTTGAAAACTAAAAATAAATAATTAAAAAAATTATTAAAAAAGCTCATGTCCTCATAAAAAATTATCATCTCTTCAGCTTTATACACACACACACACACACACGTGTATTTATGTAAAAATTTTAATACTTCTGGAATTATTTGCTAGACATTTAAAAAGTACTATTTTGACAAATAAAACTGGGGAGAACATTACTTTGAAAAAAAAAAAAGAATTCTCCTCCTAGCCATAATGGCAAAAAGAATCTCCTCCCATTCTCTTTTATCTATTTTTTTAAATCATGTGACCTTTTATGCTCAGGTCATATACTCATTTTAAGCTGACTGTGGTATATGGTGTAACATGGTTGGTCTCAACCTAATTTCTGCCAAAATGAGTTCTCATTTTCCTGGCAGTTCTTGTGAAAAAGGGGGTCCTGCCCCCATTATCTTATGTTCTTGGGCTTATCAAGCACTAGGTGACTGTTTTCATTTGCTTTAGACAGCCAGCGCCATGTGGGGTTGATGACTGCTGCCCAATAAGGTACTTTGATGTCTGGTGGCGCCCACGTTTCTTTGCTGACATCTTTTACTCCACTTCTCTTTTAATTATCTGTCCGTCACCTGTTGCCAACCCACCTTCCATATGCCTCTCCATTGCCCTTGGGGGGGTGTGGCACTTCATCATTATTTTTGTTTAAAATCTTGAAATCCCCCAATGGAGAAGGAAGGTCAGTGTTAAGCAGCCCTCAGACTAAATGCGTTAATGCCATTTGAAGCACCCTCCTTCCACAGGATGGTCAGCAGCCATCACCTCAAAGATGTCCTTTCCTAAGCAGGCTCTCATGCTCAGTCAGGTCCTCCCATCACGAACACAAAAATCCCTCAGTCTCCAGTCAGGCACCTCTCGGCCACTCATCCTTAGTGAGCACAGCACGATGACCTTCTCTGCTAAGGGTGACTCAGCCTCTGGCCAGGCCAGTCTCCATGGCCTTGGGGCAGCTGTCTCCCATAAACCAAGGATTTTTGCCTGTGGGTTTGGGCTGGATGCATCTGTTTCCTCCCTGAGTTTCCTGCTTTCCTAGGCATGGAACCTTCGGAGACGAGTTTTCAGGAAAAGGCCACCAAGGGTCATGGGCTTGCTGAAGGAAGGTTGGCACATGGCAGTCTGATGCTAGAACTATACCAGGCTGAAGTCATTTTGTTTTGGCTTGTTTAGTCAATATGTCCTTTCTGACTTGAGCTCAGTTCGATTTACTCGAATTAGGTTTTTGGATCGGAGGCAGGGAAGGGCTCTTGCCAAGATCAATACATATGTCTAGTTTATGCAGACTGATGGCTCCACCCTGAACCATGTCCCCATTTTCCACTCCTGCCCATTTCTGATTCAGTTTTGGAAGCGCTCAAAAGCGTTGGCAGCCGGGGCCTTGTTACCTCATCCTCAATACTCCCCCATGTATGGCAGGGTTTTTTCCTATCAGGGCATAAAGAGGTATTTGTCCTGACCATGAGGTCATGTCAGAGAGCTGCCAATTTTAGGCAGGACCAACGCGAGTGATGGATTGACCCATCACTTTCCCCACCCCTGGGACCAGTGTGCATCCCCACACTCCCTAGGGGTTGTGGGTCCCTGGGTGGGAGCAGGATGTGGCACATAGTAGGGTGCTTGCTAAAGGTCATTCATTCATTCATTCATTCCTTCTTCATGGCTTCAGTCCTGACAGTTATTTTGGTCTGTGTTTCTCACAAATAGGCCTTTGCTGGCCAAACATCAGGCAGTTCAGGATCAGAGTGCTAGTGACCAGAGGACCATCTCCCCTTGCGTTGACCCCTGGAGTCATCGAACCTTCAGGGAATCTCTTGGTTTCCTTGGAGCTCAGGCCAATGCTGACCTCTTATTTCCTTGTTCTTTTCAGATGGTTAGATTTGTTTAAAATGGCCTTAAGCTGCCTGGAGCTCATCTGAAGAGAGCCTGGATAAATACCTGATTTAGCTGAGATAGCTACCATTTGGGCTAACATCACAGGCCCCCGTATGGCACACAAGGAAGCAGAAATGGCATCATAGATAAGGACAATGTAAGAGCAGCTGGTCTTGACCCAGAATACACAGAGGAGGAGGTCTGTGCTGGGGGCAACACATTTCAGGGGATGTTGAAGGAAGGGTTCTCAAAATATCAGGAAGCAGAGGGAAGAATACCAAAGGCCTGGAAAAGAACATTTGATTTATCACTTTATATTAACTACAGGAGAGTGACCTGGAAAACAGAAATATCATCCAGCTTCCCTTCCCCACCTCTTGACCCCGGGCTTTTGTGTGGATTGTCCCTCATGCTTGAAACGTTTTCTCTCTGAGCCCTGGTGCCCTTCAAGCCTCAGCTCAAATCCCACCTTCTGCAGGAGCCCCCAGCCTCCACCCCACCCCTTCCCTTCTCTTGGGAAGTACCTTCCTCTCCCCTGTCTACATCTTGAATTGGCATAGGCATTTACAGGTTGCTGTCTACGTTGCGATGGGAAGGTCAGGTCCTGCTTTTTTCTTTTTCTTCTTCTCTTCTTTCCCTTCTCTCATCCCCCCTCCCCTCCTTTCCCCTCTTCTCTTTTCCTTCCCACAGTGCCTGGTAGAGAGGGAAGAGCTTCACCAATGCTTGTGAATGATTCTTGGTAGCCATCCCACCCGGCCGCCCATCTTTGCCATCTCCAATCTCACTTCCATGGTGTGGCCTCGTTGACCTTCTTAGTGGCTCCCTCAAAAAACTTCAGTGGATGCTTATTGTCTCTAGGACAAAACACACACTTCTCGATTCCATATTTAAGGTCTTCACAATGTAGCATGGGGCCTGTTGAAAGGAGATGACATCAGGCCCTAGGACAGAGCCCTTGGAGAAGGGCTGACCTGTCGAAAGGTTCTCTTCTCGGCCCTTGCAGAGGGGGCAGATTCTCCTCATCATTTAGAAACAGCGTCCAGCACGGCACCCCTGACTTTGTCAGCAGGTCCTTCCTCATGTCCCCCTACACTTTCTTCTACCTGGGACTGAAGGTTGGTCTGAATGCTGGAATGAATCAATGAACTGATGCGTTCTCTTGTTCTGCTACAGGATGGGATGAGGCTACTTCCAGTTGTCCTGATCTATATCTCACCGGATGGCTCTGGAGGAGAAAATGAGGCTGGTAACTTTGCATAGCCCTCCCGGATTAGCTCCAGTTCATTTGCATGTCATGGTATCACCTCCCTGACAAGGGAGGACAAGGGGCAGCTAGGTGGCACAGTGAATGGAGCACCAGCCCTGAAGTTGGGAGGACCTGAGTTCAAATCTGGCCTCAGATAGATAACACTCACTAGCTGTGTGACTCTGGGCAAGTCACTTAACCCCAATTGCCTCACAAAAAAAAAAAAGAGAGAGAGAATGAAGGACAAACAATTTCTGTGAGTAGAAGGAGGAGCTGCCTCACCCAGACCTAATGGAATTGGCCAGTTGGGCAGTGCAGATCTGTTATGATGAACCCTTACCTGTCGGCATTCTGCCAAAGGAATGTAAATTTTGATCTCCAAAACATCCTTAAATCCAAATCACTCTGGCTTTCATGGACTGGCCAACAACTGGTCCCAGGCCAAGCCCCACCTGGTCATTGTTTGGGTCCTGATCAGCTCAGAGTGACAGTAAACAGGAATTGTTTCTGGTTTTGGCCAGAAACCCTGAGGATCCTCCCCTCCCAGATTTCTTTCTTTCTTTCTTTCTTTCTTTCTTTCTTTCTTTCTTTCTTTCTTTCTTTCTTTCTTTCTTTCTTTCTTTCTTTCTTTCTTCTTCCTTCCTTCCTTCCTTCCTTCCTTCCTTCCTTCCTTCCTTCCTTCCTTCCTTCCTTCCTTCCTTCCTTCCTTTCTTTCTTTCTTTCTTTCTTTCTTTCTTTCTTTCTTTCTTTCTTTCTTTCTTTCTTTCTTTCTTTCTTTCTTTCTTTCTTTCTCTCTTGTTTTCTTTTTTTGAGTAGGTAAAGAGGCCATTCTCTGCCTCATTTGTTACCTAGCCTTAATCACTGAGTGGGTGTTGCTTCAGTCAGACAGAGACCTGTTCCTGGGCCACTTTCAGTCGCCCTGATCTATTTCTGGCCATAGGACCCAGATGGTTCTGGAGGAGAAAGTGAGGCTGGTGACTCTGCACAGACCTGCCTCACTTCAATCCAATGCACTTGCCTATCAGGGCATCACCTCCCTGATGTCTTGGTCCTCTTTGGAACAAAGGACAGACAACAACATAGGATGGAAAGATGTGAGCTATGGCTTCCTCACAGCTGGCACTGTCCCAAAGTGGGACGGGCGCTTCAAGGGGAAGGGAAGGGGGCCGCTGTGTGCTCACTTGCAGGTTGGCAGTTGGAAGGGTGGCAGCTGCCCTAGTAAGCCATGGGAGCTGTGGCTTTCTGAGTCCTGGGTTCCATCGGGATAACACGCCACCTCTTGTGCAGGGAAGAGGCCAAAGCTGGCTTCTGCAGGTGCTCTGTCACTCCCTGGAAGTCTGAGGGCACCTGGGACAAGCTTCTTAGTCTCCCCATAGGGGTGACCCACTGAAACGCCCAAAGGCTTCTTGATGGAAAGCTTTCACTTACCTCTGCGTCCTGGGGAAGAGGTGTCTTCTCCAAAGCTCATGCAGTGCTTGGGGAGGAGGACATCATATTCTTATACTTCTCTCTTGGCTAAGTGCCTTCAGTATTCTAAGCCTGACTGGAGAAGGGATCATGCCAGCATCCATGCCTATGGAAGTGAGTCATGCCTTAATCTGGTTCAGGTTCAAGAATAAATTTCATTTTCAAGTTTCATAGGAAAAATTGGCTCCCACTAATTCTGCTCTCCTGGGAGCTGCCACACTCTCTGAGCAGGGCTGCTATTTTTACCTCCAAGGGAAGAGCTGTAAAACATGGGCCATCTCTTTCCATGACTTGCTCTTCACACAAACGTAAAATTCAGAGCTGGGAAGGACCTTAGAGTATGCCAGCCCAACCCTTTCATTTTACTGATGAGGAAAATGAGGCCCAGAGAGGCTTGGCCACTTAGCTGATATTACTCAGCTAGCACATTTCTGATATAGGATTTGAACCCAGGCCCATGGAGACAAGATGTCCCTGCAGCCTCATGTCCAGGCAGGCCTTTCTGGGCCCATGGACATCCCCTTTCCAGATGCTAATTGACACTTGACAGTGACCAGACATACCTGTTTGCAAAGAAGGCATTTCCCTCTCAGTTCTTGGGGTGGGCCTGGTCTTAGGGATCAGAGTTCTCATGACTCGCAAAGTGGCTTTCTTTGAGGTCTTTGTGGTCCCTGGGTGATGAGTCCTCTTGGTTCAGCTTCCTTCCCCTTCTTTATTCAAGTTCATTCAAGGCTTCCAAGTTCCTCTGAATCCCTCCTATGTGTTTCTGGTGGTGCAATAATATTCCTTCCTATTTATAACTGGTTTGGCCATCCCCCAGGAAGTGGGCGCCCACTTGGGTAGAAGCTTTTGTTTGTATGAGCTTTTTTCCTCTCTCTTTCCTCTGTCTTCTCCTGTCACAGGGATGAGTCCAGTCATGGTAACCCTGGGTCAAAGGATACATCCAGTTGAGGGACTGGTCTTTGAGAAGCTTAATAGATGCATTTTCATTCATTCACTCAGAATGGTTAGGCCCCATACAGAGCTCTTTGGGGAAGCCACAGCTAGACTCTCTAGCTCAAGAAGACGGAATGCATCGGCTGGCTTCTGGCAATCTGGCAGGGGACCGGGCCAGTGACTGTGCGTGTGGCTCTAGTCTCGGAGGCTGGCCATGCCGGTCTTGTGCTCTTCCCTGAATCTGACCTTGCATCTCCTCCTCCTGCCCGGCGCCATGTCTGTGGTGTGACCCCTCCTTGCTTCTGGCTCTCCCAGGATCCATGAAATACTAACAGACCTGAAAGAAGGCCTAGAGAGAGCTGGGCAGAGAAGGGCAAGGGAGAAGAAGACCCAGGCTGAGGAGGCCAAGGTGGGGTCTGACCTGCCCAGGGCCAGGGAGGGTCAACCAGCTTCCCCACAATGGGATTGGGGAGAACAGGACCAGGGGCAGAAATCCACTCAGGGAAATCAATCCGAGGACCAGCCCAAGGCGTGGGCACGAGCACCTCTGACCAGGGGAACTGAGCATAGGAGACGCTAAACTGGTTTTGAGTTTGTGCATCCATGACACCTTAGAGCTGTGGCTTTGGGGACCCAAGCAAGCCAAAGAGGTAGTTAATCCTTTTTGCCTTTGAACTCTCAGGGCTTAGCACCTAGGAGATGTCTCATCAAGGCTTGGAATTGAACCTCCTGTGATTCAATCTCAGTACCACTTCAGTCCCCAAGTCCATAAACACAACAATCTTAATTAATACAAATAACCAAAGAAGGACTGAAATTCCAAATAAGACCCTAACATTTAAACCACTTGCTGTTTTCCAATAACATTGTTAGCTTTGTGATTTTTTTCTCTCGTTTCTAGGGGTACGTGGGTTTTTTTGTCTCATTCTTCCTTCTGAGGGGCATCCATTTTCTCTATTGAGTTATTCATCTATCCAATCATTTATTTTGTACGTTCATTTGAAAAAGTCCTGAGTTGCAGTTCTCTCAGACCTTGGAGCACCTCTCCACCAGCAGCAGGATCCAGTTATTCCCGTGACACGGTCTGCATGTCTTGGTGACCTTCCTGTCCTTTTCAAGGCACATTTAGACATTTAGAAAAGGAAGGCATGATCGCAAAGGGCTTTAGCAAGAACAGGTCGAGCTTCCCCTCCCTGTCCCACTCATATTACAGACAAGGAAACTGAGGCCCAGGAGGCTGGGGTCTAACCAGGGCTAGCTCAGGGGAATGCTCAAGGTACAGCACACCTAACTCGAAGTGAGAAAAGCATGTGTCAAGATGTCTTGTGCAATTCTTGTGCGAAAGGTTAACAGGGATATATGTCAGAACTCGATGCATGGGATAAAAACAAGGGGAGAGGGGACCAGATGACAAGTCTGGGCCACCACTGGCACCCCGGGGATGCATCGGAGGCTGAGCTTCCAGGGCCCTGGGGGCCATGGCCCCTGGCATTCGGCCCAGGCACGGCACTGTCTTCTGCAGTCTGCGGTCAGCTGCGGGCTCCACACTTTAGGAAGGCCCTGGACCCGCTGGACAGTGTCCAGAGGAGGGCCACAGGCAGATGGCGTGAAGGAGGGTGGCCACATGCGGGGGCACATGCAAGGCTGACACCGGAGACAGCCCTGAGACCAAGCGGGCAGCACCAGGAGCGTGGGGTGGAAGTTACAGCCAGGTAGACTGAGGCTGGGGCCTGTGGACAGGGCAGGCTCGTTCATGGATGGGTCAGTCCCCCTGGACTTCCCACCTCTGATTTTTGAGTTCTTTTAGGCCGAAGGGTGGTGTCCAGGCAAGGGGAATGGCGGTGCTGGGCTTGGAGGCTGAGGCCTGGCTCTCATCCCAGCTTGGGCCTCTGTGGGACTCAGTTTCCCAATCTTTAAAATGGGTGGCGACCTCGGTGGGGGCTGCCAGCTCTGACGCTGGGTCATCCCCGGGCGAAGGGACGAAGTGAAGGTCCGAAGACAAAGCCCAGGCCCGGGCTGGGGAACGCTCCTGCTCCGGGGCCAGCCCCGAATCGGAGCCACCTTCCCCAGCCCGGAAAGCAGCCCCCACCGCGGCCGAGGGCTCTACGCCAGCTCTTGAGCCAATTGCGTAGGGAGCCCCCACCTCTGGCCCGGCCCTGCACCGCCTTCCCTTACGACAAGTGCGTTCGGGGCCCCAATGGCCTACGGCATCCCGCACCGTTACGCCGAGAGCGAAGGGAGGCACTGACGTAGTCCCTGCTGTGCACCACCTTCCTTACGCCAAGTGCGTGCGGAGGCTCTGCCACCCTACCTTACGCTAATTGCGTCTCCGGGCTCTAACGCTGTTGGAGACGCTCAAGCCGTGGACCGGACGTGCCTTTTAGACGGCCATCTTTGGTAGGGGCAGGAACCGCACCCTCTCGCCTTCTCTGACCATCTCCTGAACTCCAGGAGGGGTCCCAAGACCTTCAGCCGCTTCAAGAGAGCGCGATCGTTACGACCAGCGCGCACTGACGACTCTCTCCTGGAGGCTCGGGTCCTGAGGGACCCCCCCGAGACCTCTCGTCTGCCCGGCTGCAAGATGGCTGCCGAGGGCCGGTTGCACCATGGCCCGGTCGGCCCTGGGGGCGGGGGCGCTCTTTGGTGCTCTCGCGAGAGCGGTCCGAGCGCGCCGCTTCGAGGGCGGGGGCGCGCGCGTCGCGGGCGGGGCGGGGCGCGGGCGGCGGAGGGGTTGGAGCGGCGTACGTAGGCGCCGCGGCGCGGCGCGAGGCTACGCTACGTCAGCGGCGCAGGCGGCGTTGGAGAATCGGCGGGCGGGCGGACGGCCTCGCCGGGGGAGGGGATGTCGGTCAGTGAGCGAGCGGCTGAGGAGAGGAGCGGCGGCGGCTGCGGCGGCGGCGCCATGGGTGAGTCTCTGCTCCGGCCCGGCCCGGCCCAGCCCGGCCTCCGGGGCCCCGGGGAGGCGGCGGGGGCGGCGGCGGGGCTGGAGCCAGGGTCCGGGGGGGTCCGGGCGGGCCGGGGCCGGGGGCGGGGGCGGCCGTGACAGTTTGAAGGGAGCCCGAGGAAGCGGCGGCTGCAGGCCCGGGCTGGGCCGAGCCGGGCCGGGCCGGGGGAGCGCGGCGGGGCCGGGCTGGGCCTGCAGGAAATGGGGCGGGGGCCGGGCCCCTGGGGCTCGGTCCCCCCTGCAGTCACCCACGCGGGGCCCGGCCTCCTCCCCGCCTCAGTTACCCATTCCGTCCCGCTGCCGGGCGCCTCCGAACCCGCCATCGTCAGCCCCGGGATGGGCCGCCCCGGTGCAGAGCCCGAGCTTGTCTGCGGCCCAGGCGGGGGCGACGGGAGCCCTCGCAGCACTTGAGCCCCGGGCATCTGGGGGCTCGGCGCTCCCCGGTCGGAGCCCGCGGGGGCTTGGGGGGCCGGGCCCGAGAGCGAGGAAAGAGAAGGGGGTGGGGTGGGGTGGGGGCGGGGAGGGACGAAGGGCAGGAAGCCAGCGCTGATCCCACCCAGCTGTTGCCGGGCTGGGGAGGGAGGGGGCCCGGGCCGGGGGCTGCGGGGCAGCTGGGGGGGGTGCCTTGGGGGTGCGGGGCTCCTCCCGCAGTCAACTATTGGAGCTCCCCGCCAGGCGTGACCTAGTTTGGGTTTGGGGAGCGAGGGTCGAAAATAAAAACATGCGTGTGGCTTTTCTGTTCGAAAAGGCGAAGTGAAGGGGTCCTCGGCAGCTGTTAGGGAGCGGGGCCGGCCGCGGATGTTCAGTGGCCAGATGAGGCAGACCCCGGTTTGACAAAGGGCGTTTTGTTCCATGGTGCCGACTTTAAAACGAACGCGTCGGGAATGATAGGTTCCCCGGTCACGATGCAGATGGCTTTGAACCCCTGTGGAAGTGTGCCCCCCGCAGAATCCCTTCCCGGGAACGTCCCTGATTCATTATGGTGGACCACTGATTGTTCTTGTTCCTTTTCGTTTCCATTCGGTTCACAAATACTGTTCTAGAAGCTGGGGGAAATAACGAAGGTTGTATGAGGCAGAAGTTCCTCCAGGAGCTGGGCAGGGGGACAGAATAGAGCCAGAGAATGAGTGCCAAAATGATTTACAAACATTAGCGAACAACAGCCCTGTGAGGGAGGTACTTTTACAGCTGCCTTAACTGAGACAGATGTTGGCTAAGTATTTGCCCAGGGTCACACAGGTAATTCCAGCTAGGATCTTTTCGACTCCAGGTGCAACCCTCTATCCTGATTTGCTCTGCGAGGTTGGATGAGGTAGGGGCTTTGACTGGGAAGGGATCAGGAAGTTTCCTGTTGTAACTGGAGGTAGCATTGGAATTGGGCTTTGAAATTCAATGGAGAAGGGCGGGGAGCAGAGGCACTACCGTCCGAAAACCCAGGGCAGGTCTAAGCCACGGTGAATGCGGCTGTCAGGTCTCAATCTAATGAAAAGCCTAATTCAGCAGCAAGTGATCATCCTAATAGGGGCAAACCATTGACCTCCTGAGGCGACACGGTCCTCTTACACAGAACCTAGATTTATCTCTACTGCTGTCTCTTGTAGCTGGTACTTGTCTCAGGAAGCAAGCAGGAAAAATAAGCTTCCCTGTGACAGCTCTTCAAAAACCAGCTAAATAACCCTTGTTGCTTTGCCTCATTCTGAAGACTTAGCTCCTTTTCTTGCTGTCCTGATGACTGGGGTTCTTCATTGGGCTCTTTGAGCATTCATTCTGGGGAAGCCCAGGGCCCCCTTCTCAGAACATTTTTTTTTTTGTGAGGCATTCGGGGTTAAGTGACTTGCCCAGGGTCACACAGCTAGTAACTGTCAAGTGTCTGAGGCCAGATTTGAACTCAGGTCCTCCTGACTCCAAGGCTGGAGCTCCATCCACTGTGCCACCTAGCTGCCCCAGAACAATATTTTTTAATGCGTAATATACATAGTATTACAAAATAAAATAATACTATTGAAATACAGACTCTGGAATATTTACAAAGTGCATTGAGGGACCCTAGCTTAAGGGCCCCTGCTCTAGATGGCCTCCTTTCAACAATTTCCTTCCATTTATTAAAGCAAGTACCATGTGCTGGGAAAAAAAACATCTCTTCAAAGTGCTTATACTTGTCATCCCTCTTCCTGAAA